TTCTATAGTCCAGATGTGGTTTCTATAGTTCAGGTGTACTTTCTATACTCCAGATGTGGTTTATATAGTCCAGGTGTACTTTCTATAGTCCAGATGTGGTTTCTATTGTCCAGATGTTGTTTCTGACCCCAACTATAGGATTTATCAAAAAGCAAAGACTTAAGCCCAGTATTAAAAGTAGAAAATATGTCTCCTCACAGACAGAAACTGGAAATTTGTTCCACAGGAGAGGAGCCCGATAACTGAAAGCTTTGGAAACTGTATGAACCACAAGTAAACCTGCTGTCCGAGAGCGAATATGCAAATATGTGCAAGTAGACAGAGATTATCTTGATGCATGCTCAAAAATTCATGTAGAAAAATGGACCAGATTTAACTTTTTTAGACAGCCGGAGATTACTATAAATCTGACAAACGCTGCTGCCATGTGCATTAAAACAAAAGAAGCGTGTAGATAAAGCTAGCTTCCAGACTGCTACGCAGACGGACTACGGTGTGAAAAGTAGAAAGTCTGCTGGACCCAAACTGTTCCAGGAAGTGGAGCTGCCTTTGGGCCAGACAGGTTTTTAACAGCTCGTAGCGGAGTATGACACAGCATGCATCATGTGAAGACACACACAAACATCAGCTGTCTGCATCTTTCAGCATATCCACAACACAATCACGCTCCTAACACGCAGTTGGATCTGTGACAGAGTTGTCATGGCAACTGAAAGATCTCCTGCTGGTTCTGAAGTTGTAACTATGGAGGCGTTTTGGGTGGGATACAGTATTTAAGTGTGGTGCTGTGTGTTTTTGGCAAATTGGGGAAGGCTGGAGGTGGTGTGGTACTTTTTTCTGTCTTGTGAGACACAAAACCACAAACAGGAGGAGAGAGCAAGAGGAAGATCCAGAGGAAGACTTTCCCAGTTGCTGTTGGTGTTTGTGCATTTATTTTTGCGTGTTTTTTTTTATTTTTTATTTTTTTTACGCAGTGCGTTGCTCATCCGTGTGATTGTGTTAACCTGTTTTGCTCGTACAATATGCTACACCCACTCTAGATTTTTAATAACTGATGGCAGATGTAAACCTTGTGTGCAGACGGTGCAAAGATCTAAATCATTTTGTGGCTTCATATTGATTTAATAATGTGAATGTTTATAAAGCATTCACTTTATTCAGATCTGTTTTTTCCCCCATACGTTTTTCAGCACATAATCCCAGGAGCTTAATTTGAGCCGGATCCTGCCGTAACAGGATCCGGGAGCTGTCAGGCTTACTAATAATAAAGTTATGAACAAGTTTGACTGTCTTGAATGGATAAAACCTATATTGGACAATCTGAAAATAATGACATAAACACTAGTTTTAAACATAACAACCACTTACAAGCTTCCTAATATCACATCAGAGCTGCCACTTCAAGCAAGCATTTCCACTTCTACCCTTTAAAAAAAATCTCCACCCCTCAAAGTTCAGTCATGTACAATTCAATTAAAAACACAAAAATAGGGCTAGGATGCTTCAGAGAAGCTGTGCGTGCTCTATTCACACAAGGGGAGCTGTTGGTCAGGCTACTTCTTGTTGCTCTCTAAAATAGTTGTTGAATCAAGTGTTTACAAATTTAGGTAAACGTAGATGTTTAACAACCCGTTAAAATACACCAGAATGCAGGAAATGGCATCTACTTTATTCAAAATTTCCAGGGGGAGGACCTCTAGACACCCCCTCCCCTCCGCTATTTGCATTCCGGTATTGTTTGGTTTACAAATTAAGCACTGCGTAACATGTTCTGAAATTTTTGTGCTATTTCAACAATTCATAAATCAAAACGTTCGGCTCGTTCAGGACGACTTTTGGCGTTTGAAAATGCTAAACGGTTCAAAAGGTAAAAATTGCACAGTCAAGTTTTTTTAAACTGAAAATGAACGGAGCTCTTTTCTCATCCTTCAAACCCTTTGAGCTGTTTACATTTTACTGCTCATTTCAGCTTTTTTATTTATTATTTTTTCAGCTTTCTGCTAATTTCAGCTTTTTAGCTAGTTATGTTTTTAATACTTTACTGCTAATTCAATCCTCTTTTTTGTGCCAGTTTCTACCTTTTGTGCTTCTTTTGAATATTTAAATTTTTATGCTCCTTTCGGCTCCTTTTCTGCTGATAGCAGCTTTATTAGCTACTTTTTTAAGTACTTTACAGCTAATTCAATCCCCTTTTTTGTGCCAGTTTCTACCTTTTGTGCTTCTTTTGAATATTTAAATTTTTATTCTTTTTTCGGCTTCTTTTCTGCTGATATCAGCTTTTTTTGGCTACATTTCAGTTAATTTCAGCTTTATGTGCTCTTTCTTTATTTTCCTGCTTTCTGCAAAGGCCAGCTGTTCAAGTTTAACTCACATTAACAGTTTAGAGGTGAAATCTTTCAACAATAAGCGTTCACACTTGGTTTTCACAGGAAATGACATTTCTCTAGTTTCACATGTTAAACTCAAGATCCGCAGTTAAATATATACAGTATATATTTATTTGCTTATCCACCTCTACAGGCCAGATGAATGGAAGATAGCAGATTAGAGAGAGGAAGTTTTATTACAAAATGAGGAATATTACACGTCTGTATTTAGCATCGGATAAACCAAACAAATTGGTTTGTTTTTAAAAACTGATTTCAACTTTAACCCATCAGTCTAATTTTAGATTCAACGACTTCATCCACAATCTCAACACTTTTAATAAAAAGATCAAATTAAGCATCCGTTTATTTAACCACACATACAGCAGCAGGACTAAATTAATCCATTAATCCGTTTGTTTTTATTATCCCACAAAGCCACTTCATCTAATTAACCGCACGTGCTCTGGTGCACTCGAAGTACGAAGCGATGATAAATATTGTCGTTCTTCAGCGACTGTAAAGTAGCCGAAACATTTGACGTGAAGTGGCAGCGATGCTGAGGACTTTACAGGCGGGCCACGGCCTGTTTAGCAGGTTTAACTTCACACCTGAGCCGACTCTAAGTGCAGGTTTGTGCGGTGGTGCAGCGGGATTTAATGATGGATGGAACCTGATCTCTTCAGGGAATAGACAAGAGACTATTGATTTTTACATTTTGGGCTGGTACTCTGGAGGGAGGCAGGGAAAGCTGACTCATCTTTGCTGCGTTGCTGGGGGGGTGGGGGGTGGGGGGGGCAGATCACCTCTGTTTCTTATATTTCCATCCTGACAAGATTATGAAAA